GTGGTTACTACTTAGGTCAGACTTACAAAACACCAACTCCAGCACACAAGGTAAGTATGGAATTTTGTTTTCTTTTCGTACTAGACAAATGCAACATTCAGGCTCAGTTGGGTAACAAAGAGGAAGACATTCAAAACTGACAAGCAAGTAAATTGTGGAAAGCAGATTTTATATGACAATAAACATGCAGCTTGCAAAAGAATGAAGATAGTGTACTAGTATTAAAACACACTTCCACATAAAGACAGCTTATACAGCAATTTACAAGTTTAACCTCTGGCTGGAGTATGCAAGCCCTTTAAAGCTGGCATTCAAACTACCAGTAGGTTAATCAGCCATACTTAAAGCACATAGTAAAATTTGACTTAATGTTTACATTCACTAGCCATCCAATCCAGCATCAAGGCACTTTCCTTGTTAGTATGTCTATCCCCATGTTCCACGCCTCTGCTAATCTAGATGCATATATCGGCACAGCAACATTCAGTGACCTTAATCCAAATAAAAGCACTTGGTTACTAGACAGTCCATCAAAGTGTCAGGACATATGTGACACTGTAAACAAGACTGGTATGTTAAAAAAAACACGGCAAGTTGACTGGATCCGTTAACGAATGTGCTTTGATATGAAGAAAAGCGATAGTTGTCACAGAGAATGCTCATCTACCATGCCTGCAGTCGCTGGAGAAGAACGGCCGGTGCAGGGTGCAGGAGATGCTTCAGTCTGCGCAGGAGGACGTGGAGCTTTCCAGCCGACTGCAGACAGTTGTGCCATATGTGTTTTTCACCTATTGTTACAGAAGTGTGCTTCTGCAGAGTATCGATGACTTTATTGCATATATCCCCTTCAAGGTTGTCTTTGCAAATAAACACAAGTACTGGCTAAGGCTGCATTCTGGGAGGCACTTACTGCCCACCCTCTCTCTGTACTAAAATTAAGAGGGGGGGAGAAGTGGGCAATTGTTGAGATCTAGCCTTTAGTCATTAATTTTAAATTTGTTTGTATCAAATTTTGTGGCCTTAAAAATGCATCTTTGTGCATTAAGTCAGCACTGGTTTCATTTCTAGGAATGGCTCAGATTGCACAAGTACTACAAAGGAAACAGTAGTGAAAGCAAACACACATATGTGTTTTAGCTTTTTTTTTTTTTAAAACTGATCCTTTCCCTTTTAAGGAAGAGAAATGGGAATTTGTGAGTCCAATGCAAGACACTTTATTCTACCCTTCTCTAGACTTTTGCACTTACACCTCCACTTTACTGCAGTTTTCTGGATCAGGAGCTAAGCTGAAGATTGTGGGGTTGGCTCTAATTCCCAAATGGCTGTTTCATGACAAAATCAACACTTTTGTTATAAACTGCTTCCAAATAACATTAAAAGCAATTCTTGGAATTTAAAATGGCTATATGTATCCATCTTAGCAAACAGACAAGAGGTTACAACGGATTAATGAAGTTTTACAATCCACCAGTCAGAAGAACTTTTTAACATAGTCCAAGGAATGTAGCCCAGTAACAGTTAATCTTGACTACAACTGTCTCAGGGAAAATAAACTAGTATATTTAGTCTCATTTAATGCATGAAATTTACAATTTAAAATGTGCATGTCCTGGAGCAGGGCTGAATATTAACAATTTGGGAGTCTTTGGAGTTTCAGATCCCACTGTGAAGTCAATACCACAGCAGCATATATTGATGTGGGTCTTGGGTATTCAAGACCTGGCACTAATTAAACAAGTTCAATTACTGAAGTTAAATCAGCATGGCGATTCCCACATATTGACCACACTAATGTAAGTTTTAACTATCTGGCAGTGCTCGTGATTTACAGTCGAAGCTGAAGCTGCAAACCCCACCTCAAGTCATGGGGCTTCTCCAGTGCCCAAGAAGGGGACTCAGCCCTCACATGCAAACTCCCTTCTCCTCCCAGGGCCAGTTTTTTCCAGTCATGATAACTAGCATTTTGCTAGGCTGCTGCAGCACAGATAGGTACGTGCTTGTCACAAACACTCCAGAACAAAGTTTAGAAAAATTTTGGCTCTGCTGTGCTTTGTGCTGCCAGGTTAAGGCTTAACAGGCAGCTTAGTTTACTACAGTGGGTGTATGAAACGCAATCTCAAGACTTTCACTACAGTGGGAAAGGATATTCCCAGACTAACTGTCCTGAAAGTGAGCCAACACACCCCAGAAACAACCCCAACAGCCTCCTGTTCAAACAGAACTACCACAACAGAACTACAGAGATAAATATATTCACTTTTCTTCTAAACAGAGGAGCAGTTAGCCAGCCTGCCCTTAAGAGATGTTTCAAACATGCCAATATAGGAAAAATACTTCATATTTCTATTAGCCTACCTTCCTGCCACCAAAGTAACAAGGTCTTTACAACTATTCTCCCACCCCTACCTGAAAAATTCCAGTCCAGGAAATCAAGATGGACATGAAAGTGTCAATACTGAAGTGTGAGTTTATTTTAATAATGCCTTTATTTTGTGAAGTGCACCATAGTTATTGGGGGTGGGTGAGAGGCTTTTTCTTTAATTACTATGTTTGGGCCAAGTTCAGAGAATTTCAGTTGATTGCTATAATTACACTACAGACTCTATAAACCTATATGCAACTGTTTGATACAATTACATTGTTATGATCGAAAGTATAAAACCAAGTTAAACCCTGAACACTGCATGATACAGTATTTGGCACATAGGTTTAGGAACAAGCTGTAAACCTGTTTTTTATACGTACTGTGGCTTCTACAAGCTGTTCACCCACCAGTATCTCCTGCTTAGTCTTTAGTATTTTAGCCCTAGATAAATGCACAAGCCTGAAAGATAGAGCATAACTGACAGAAAGACAGAATTCTCTCTAGGATACACTCCTGTATGATGATGTTAGTTTATTACCACTGGCCCATAAACAAAAAGAAAGATGCCAGAAGTGACAGGCCAGAACTTTTGTTAGCACAGACCTTTGAAAAGGAGAATCTCTAGATGCTGTTTAATGTTGGAAATAGTCCATGATTAACAGCAACTGACAACAAAATGCCTTTTCTTTACGCAACAGAAAGGCAAATAGCAACTTTAGGAATAACTGAAATTCTCCCTCTAATATGACATATGCTATCAAAAGTTAGTATCACTGGATCACAAAAAATAATAATAATAAAAAAGGACAGATATCATCAGCATGTTTTTGAAAAAATCCAGGCCTCTGGAGCAGTGTTCAGTTAAAGTGACCAGGTTGTGACCCACGATACCTCAAAAATGAGCAGGAAGTGGATTAGACATGTGTGGCTGCAGGGAAGATCTAATAAGCACGCACACTGCTCGAGACTTTCCCTTTTACTTGTGGCTTCTACAGTCACTATGAAGTTTGCATAGAGAAGATCACCCATCCCCCAGAAAATTATCAGCTATTATTTTCCAAGAGGAATGTGTTCTGACAAAGGAATGCTCCTCCAATCTCTGAAAAAAATGAAAGACAGTCTCTGCTGTCTCATGACAGCATAGTCTTCATTATGCCCTTGCCCTTTGGGAGGGAGTTTGAAGGTGCTGAGGTGGAGCAGGAAGAAAAGGAAGAGGACTGGTTTGAAGAAAGGTGTAGTTATAGTAAGCTACAACATGACCTTTTAGTTTTAAAAAGTGCCTAGATACAAAAAATAATGTTGGGAGAAAGGAATGGTCGAATTCTGAAATGTTATTAAAGATTCTGCATTCTTTATCTGTTTTAAGTAGTCCAGACTTCAAGAGGTAATCTTATGAATTTACTCTAGCACTGAATTTCTTTGTAACAAAAGCAGAAGATGTGAACATTTATATGTATACCTGTCCTTCCACAGAAGCTGGCAGACAAGGACAAGGGCCTTTAGCAACTGCTCTGCAGAACAGCAGCACCTGAGGTGAGAGCACAAAAGGTTTCAGGTGGTCTTAAATACATAGCTCTTTTACTGAAGGAGAAATAAACCCCATGTTTTATTCTCACAACACAGCATTTAGTGTTTTGAATTAAGGTTTTAGTGTCAGATTAGAAAGCTGACTAGACTAAGTTAAGGTTAAAAAAAAAATAATCTAAAAGAGTGCCATAAAATGCCTAGTTATCACTGGAGAAGGGGTTTATTTTAATGTAATTTCACTTTTCTTTAAACCCTGGTACAGACAGTCTCCAAGAAAAGTATACTCTTCAATAAAATGCAAACTGTATGAAGAGGGGAAAAGTGAGACATAAGGAAAAAGGAATTTTAACAACCACGTTATTTGTGCCTCATGATTGCTAATAGATACATACTACCTGTAATAGTCAAATTCAGGGTGTAGGTTTTGTTTTTTCTTCCAAGAGCTTCAATTACTTCAATGCTTTGATTTTTGGTCTTTTCAGCTTCAAGGAGGTCCTGCGGCATTAGCAGTGAGGTTACAGCACACTAATCGCTGTCGTCAATCAGGAAGAAGGTCATATTCCCTTCCTCCTGAGCCGTTAAAAAAATGGTAAAAACTTACAGCTCATTACTTGCCTCTGAAGCTGTATACAGCAAAGGTGCACTTTAATTAAACAAAGGCAATTTATATGACCAGAGAGGTATGGTATAATCAGACAGTGATCTGGGCAAAAAACCTTTAAATAACTGTTCATCTGTGTTTTCATCTGGATTTTTAAACTTTTGAACATGAGACTGAATTGCTGTGCATCAAATTGCAAGGCACATTTTTAGGCCAGATTAAATAGTTCATGTGCACGCATATCTAAATATAGGCAGAATATCAAGTAATATAGTAGTATTTTGAATCAAGCAATCATGGTGTTTTCTTATTTGCACACCATAGCAAGTTCTATTTAATTTTCCTAATTTTTAAATGGGGATGAACATGATTTGCATGTCTGGTAAGCTGGAAACTGAGATACTGGGCCAAGCCAAAATTCAGAAAGTCGATCAAGCTACTGAAAAATATATGACAAGTATTCTTCCATGTTAGAATACTAAACTTCAGTCTTACTCTTGCACGAAGATGCTCCAAGCAACTAAAGCTGGCTTTTTAGGCTTGTTCACTGTCACAAATCGAAGTATTTCTTCTGGGAGGTCTATTGGCTGATGTGATTAATTGAAACTTGCCATTTTCAATCGTGTAAATCTGATATGACAATTCACAAAAAAACAGGGTAGCACAAAGGCTTGTTCAGCTATCTAGACATTTTGTGTAGTGCATAAAAGTAAGTCTCCAGTAGGTCTGGACTGCAAATTTTCCACAAAAACACAGTCCTTGTTGTACTTTGTCAAATTGCTCTTCACTTAATTTCAGTATTTCTGTCTGCATTCAGATAAAAATACCTAGCTTAATTTATCAGAAACACAGGGGAAAGTGTGAGCAGGCACTAATGAAGGCCTAAACAGAGCCAGTCTCTTCTCTCACTGAGGCATATAGCCCCCCTGTCTCACAGTCTGTGGGAGGTAACTTTTTGGCATTTCATCAGCTGATGGTGGATTTCCTTCCACTGTTTCAGGTCTCATAGTTTGTCCTTCAATACTTGTCTGTAAAACATCTGGCAGAGCATCTTCCTGGGTATTTTTTTCCAGCCCAAGGCTCAACAGCTGTGAACTCTGACCTGAGATCTGCAGTTGCGCAAATCCCACAAGATCCCCCTCATTAGCAGAAGTAATTTGCTTTGTTCTTTCAAAGCACGGCCTGTCTGTGTTGGTTTCATCCTGACCACCATTTTGTTTGAAATACTGCTGTCTCTGTGTTGTACTGTCACCTCCTCCAGCATGATCCTCTGACCTCTCTTCTGAATCTAGCAGTGGCTGAGTCGACTCAGATCTTGAAAAGACTTGTACAGGTGTTTGGTCTCTGTAGCCATTAAGTACTACAGTTGAATACTGTACAGTGCTTGAAGTGTTTTGTGTAGTTTCACCTTCGTCGCTGTCAGACACACTTTGCCTAGGAGAAGACATGCACGAAGATCCTCCAATACCACTGCTGTGCCCTTCTGAAGTACTTTTTTCCTTTTTAAGCAGGTCAAAGGGTTTTAGATCTTGTTCTGAAAAAGACTTCTTGTCCTCAGCTTCTATTTCTACGACGCTTACATCTGTAAAGCTGCCTTCTGGGTATATCTGGTCTTTGGAACTAAAGTTATGCTGAAAGAAAGAGATGGATGTTGCCTAAGAGGAAGGTTAAAAATCAAACCCCCCACTAAATATCTGAATTTTTATTCTGTAATTGTTTTAAGTTTCTTCATGTAAGTTTTCTTCTTACTAAGTTTGGCAGTATCTCGAAAGTATCTGTTACAAAATGAAGGACACAGAATAACTGCATAATAAAGGCTTTGTATTGGAAAGAAAGCTAAAACCATAGTGGATGTGCAAGCTTTGCTCTAATTTTAATTATTCTTAAGAGCCATAAACATAGAACCATTTGCTGTGCAGCACAGGAACATTCTATATAGAGGCCATACATACACTACTCCCAATAACATGTTCAACTTCACAGCACTTCTTCATAGAAGTTTGCCACTGTTTATTGAACAGAATTTGCTATCTCATTCACCCCATATGGGGCATAAATTTTGCTGCCATCTCCTCATCCACGAGTAACTCTTAGAGCTTTATCTCTCATTCATGACTTAACTGGCTAAACTTCAAGGTTTTCAGAATGGGAATCGTGAATTCTGTTTACTTAATCCTGATCTCCTGTGAATGAGTAAAATAATTAGGACTTAACCCTTCTAACTAATAAACTGAATATAATTCACAATGTTAAAGCCTGCTCTATGCTGTGAACTTGTGCTAAGGGCCATGTATTTCCAATGCTGAATCTAGCGATGTAATAATTCTTCTAACCATAGCATATCACAATGTCATGAAATTTAACATCTACTTTTTTTGTCCTTGAAATCCATATGTGCTAGAAGACAGAAGGCTCCCACTGGTTAGTTTATTTGAAACCTTGTGGACTAGGAAGATACAGGACACAAAGATGAGTATTACCTTAGCTGGAACTTGAGGAGACCACTGAGCAATGTTACTCTTGGATGGATCAGGGACAATTGGCCAGATATGCTTTTTAATTCTGTAAAAAAATGAAAAACAGAATAAAATTACAAGATGCACTCCCCAAATTCCTATGTTGATAGCCAGTACTGTATAATCCAGGACACCACTCCCTTACATAGCAATTTTGCAAGAGTATAGCAATTTTGCAAGAGTATTTATTTCCAAATAGGAATGCTTCCTGCACTTTTCTACATCTTCGTAGGAAGCTATACTACTTAGCAAAATACAGCACTGCACTTATAACTCCTCCATACATTAGATGTAGCTATCCAACATAAGGCAACAACAACAAATGGTAACAGTTAGGGAGGGATTTTCACATTTACAGCATTCTAGAGTCAGAGCAACTATGTAGGTAAAGGCCATGATGCATGTCAGTATAAAAATACACCGTTGCGTCTATAAGATAACTACGAGTATCACAGCCATCAAAGTCTACGCCAATTTCACAGCTAAAATAAAGTGAAAATATTTGAAGACAGACTTGTTTGGTCTTTTGTAACTCTGAAATCATAAGTTTACAAATGTAATAACTGTTACTTAACAACCGAAGTTTCTGTAGTTAAATCATCCCCAACCAAACCAAACTTGAACCTGATGCATCTATCCTGCTCTTTATAAACAGACTCCAACAACAGAACCTCTGTAGGAGAACTTTGAAGAACATTGCAAGATGGGCTTTTCAACGGACAACCATTAAGAACAGATTTTAGGAACAGCATGGAGGTCAGAAGGGCACAAAATACTGTCTTTAATTAGAAAGATAGCTGACTGGGGACATGGGAGAAGTGCTACTTCTTGCAATGGAAAACACTTCAGCAATATGCTCCCTGCTAAAGCCACAGACAAGAGCTCTGGAGCAGGAGGAGGCAGGATATTTTCCAGTAGATAGTAAACAGCTACAGAATTTGACTGAGGTTATGCAAGGTAGATAAATAACATGTGAATTGACTGTGAATCTTCATGTTTGGTAACACTGTAATTAAGTAGCACAAATACAACCAGCAAACAGATCTGTGCGTCACAAACTAGGCACCATCATCCTACTCTCATACAACGACTAAGAAAACACAGACACTATATGCTGATCAAAACCCAACAAAGCTAATCCTGACCAACTCTAGCAAGAAAAGCAGGAATTTCCTTGCACAATTGAATCATGGAACATTTAGTTTGTGTGCTAATTGTTAACAGTAAGAAATTAGTACCAGAAGAGGCCCTGATTTCTCCAGGAAAACACGAAAGTGTTTATCACCAATCAATGTATGTGTGTTTTACCACCTTCTTCTGTTCTAACTGCAGAATATTTACTTGTTTGTATTGAATGACTGCCATCTCTGTTACATCCAGAAATGTCAGAAGTATAAGGGAAAGACTTCATTTATACTTACAAGTCACGTTTGTTGAAGCAAAACAAAACTCCAAGAAGCACAATCAACAGGAATGCTAGACACACAGGTACAACTATGGCTTCAATTTCTCCTTTCCCTGAAGAAAGTGAAAAGCAGCAGTTATAGCCCACTTTGGCATTTAAGGAACTCAGCAGCAGCGTACATTCCCAAAGGGACAGGGAGAATCTGAAACTGAATACACCCTCAGTGCTCAGTCAAGCTTCACCTTCAGAAGAACCTCTTCAACATAAGAAAAGAGCCTGTTGCTGAAAACATGAAAAGCTCTGTCCCAGCAATCTAAAGCCTTGCACCAACAAAAAACACAGGTTGCTCTAGAAGCTGTAATACTGATGGAGTAAATAATTTTACAGTTTGGGCAGATATGACAGCAACATCTATATGAATTCATCTGTGGTCCAGGCATTTCAGTGGCCTATTGGCTGCCGTAACAACACCATGGTCAAATATGTAATGTAAGTCAAGTCACTAGTTATCCACCACTTTATTCTGTACATGAAAATATCCTCTCCCTGCAAACACTTAATGTTGCATTACTTTTACGCATTCTTTCCGATGTTATACACATTCTTGAATAAACCTTACAGAATGCTTAGGGAAGATCAACACTACACAGAAAAAAACCAAATCACCTGCTTAATCTAAAGAAGTCATTTCCACAACTAAGTTCAGTTAATGTTGCTGCTCTTACCATTACAAATAGGAAGCACTCTCTAAAGCTGAACGTACAATAAATTTAACTCTTCAAAATAAGTCTCTGTAGAGAACTTGAGCAAACTTTAATAGTGATATGAATGAGAATGAAGAACCTGAGGAAGGGTTGCAAGAATGGCATGTGCTGACTGGCACCTAGATGAGTAGATCAAGATCCCAGCACAGCAGCTCCTCAGGACACCTGTAACAGTATAATAAAGGCCAACCTGACTTCAGATTAAAACAGACTCTGGACTCTTTTAAGACCAGGGTAGAAGCCATCAGATACTAGAAGAGAAGACAAAGGCACCGAGTAAATCCTAATGACTCACACCAAGTTGGGGCAAAAAGAATACTATAACCTGAAGTATACACAAAATACATCCAAAACCAGCATGTTTGCCAACAGAAAAGAACAATCCAGCAGACCTTCAGAGGACAGCTTGTCCTCTGCACAATCAGAATAAATCCTGACTAAACTACCACTTTGGGACTGAGTCCTAAATAGGCTACCTAGATATCACACATACCTTGTGACTGTGACTGCAACTGAAACTTTTTTTCTTTTAAATAAAATCATCTTCCCCTTCCATCAGATCTTGCACAGAGCCTTGTTATACTGTTGCAACATTATTTCCTACTTCTACTAATTGTGCCACTCTTCCTTACCAAATTTTTGTGTAGTAAATGTAAAATCAGGACCACTCCTGCCTCCTTCATCTGTGTATGCCATCATCCGCACAGTATACAGTGTGTCACTGGTTAGAGAAGAAAGGGTATACTCTGTCTTGGAAGGATCCACTGTCACAGCTAAAGAGAAGAAAAAATTTATACTAGTTTCCCGTACAGTTTATTAGAGTTCCACAAACACAGCAGCATTAGGACATCATGTCTTCAGATGCACAAAATACTTGTAGTAGAATGCATGGCTATATGGAAAATAAAACAGACACACAACAACTACAAACTTTTACAAGAAATGCCAAAATTAATTTGTTTCTGTTCAAGTGTTTGAATTTAGTCTCTTTCTCTATGATGTTTTATATGCTAGTTTCATGTGTGGTTTTTTTGTTTAACCCCCACAATGTAGCTACAAACTAAACTAGTAGTAAAGTTGAGGCTTATAGATCTCTAATAAGCAGAATACATGGCTAACTAGAAACAGCTAGTTACTAGAAAAAAACATGGTTAACTAGAAATAACACAAAGTAGGGTAGGCATAAGTAATTGGCCCTTCCCATTTATCTAAACAAAACCTTTTGAGTAGTGCTAGCTCCCTGCCTTATGCCTGGAGGTGATACATACTACTGGGAACTAGGATGCACTTCAAACAAGATGTTTTACATCAGTAATATATTAATCTAGAGCTCCAGGGGGATTAGAAATCCCTTTTTTGTGACCTCAACCTGTATTTTGATAGAAAGAAGGGAGCACAACAGCTGCAAGTCAGCTTTCAGAAACTAAACCCAGTATCCTGTTATACACAGACTGAATGCTCCAAATTCTTTATTAGGTACTTTGCTGTTTGGTATAGAGGATAGCTATGCCTCAGACACCAGGTTTATGTCACCAGAACAGACTGTCAGGCATAATCTACTCTGTATCTTGTTTTTCAGGAACGTGTATTAGGAAGGAGACAGATTGAATACTTCAGTGCCACAAAGCACTTCTCTGCTTTCTGTTACCTGTTTCATTTCCATCAATAGTTTTGTAAAATATGGTGTAACTTCTGATAAATCCGTTTTGTTCATCCACTGTGAGATGGTTCCATGTCAAAACAGCTTCAGCTTTTCCTACTTTTTTTGTCTGAATGGTTGGTCCTTTTGAAGGACCTGTAATGGGAGATAGAAAGATTACTTTCTGTTTGCCACCCTTGCATCCACAAAAGCAGTGTATTGATGGGAACAGAATTTCTACTGTGTAAAAACTTCAATGGTATAGCAGGACAAACTCATTTGCAAAGTGTTATTTTCAGACAACAAAGCAACTCCAAAGACATTTTAAAAGAAAAAATTCCAGCAAAAAGTTTAAGAAAAACGGTAATCAGCAGATCACAGGAAATCTTCAACTGAAGTTATTTAGTGTTGGCTTTATACTTGAAATTTAAAATAAAATAAATCAGCATACAAATTTTACTATACCAATAAAATGACAAACTCATGCAAGTAAAAAAGCAGCATGGGTATTAATAGAAGGGACAAGATCAGTTACGTCAGATGACCCTCAAGTGTAGGACCACTTTTCGTTACGTAGTCCAGATTAAAGCAAAGGTCTCATTATTTTTAGTCAAGAAAGTCAGTTTATGTTCTCCAAGATGACCATTTTGTACTTACGATCCTGTTGAAGATAAGCCTTCACAGACTGTCCACTTCCCTGACCATCAGCATATAGAGGGTACACAGTTATCAAGTAACACTTGAACGGTTTTATATCACCTAATAAAAGGAATTTAAAATGTGTTGTTTCATAGACAGACAAATTCCTCGCCATTCTTCTCATTTACTTCAGATACAATGTTGTGGATTTTGGCCGTTTTATTAGATGCACTTGTATCTAATGCAGCTGAGTATTATTTTTTTTTTTGCTAGAGTTCATTGATATACTGCTCCAAAATATTAACTGAAGGAACAATATAATGGTTCTCATTCAAATATTAAATTTAATAAACAGACTTCACAGAAGTCTGTTTTTTTCTAATTCATTTTAAGTAAAAAGCCTTTATCTGTGTGCAGCACTGAACCCCCAAAATATTGATTTGAGCTACAGATCATAATCTGAAAAGAACTGTAACACTCAAGTTTCATTGTTTGAACTGAAAGAGGGATCAGAGGATTTGATTTTGAAGTAACTCAGCCTTTGCACTATTTTAATGGTTTCCAAGAATGAGAAGACTGAAAACAAAATGCAGATAAAACCCTCACTGTTACATAATATACATTTTAAAATGCAAGATCAGATACAGTTTTGTATTTGACAAAAATATACAGACACTTCTGCAGTCATGATAAACTAACAGAAGCCATCAGCATTATCCCAGATTCTGGTCCTACCATAAAATTCCCGTCAGCATGAGGGTGTTCCTCACTGTGAGAATACTTACTAGGTTTTTAGTGTTCTACAAAGTATTTGCAGGCTTATGAGCTAAATACCTTTTAAGTATGTTCCTTGAATGTTTCCTGGTTCGTTCTGCCATTCTATGATGCAGTCTGAGCTGTTAGACACCAGACACCATTCGATGACATACTTAAGAACATAACTGTCAGGAGCAGTCCACCCTACCCACAACTTGCCGTCTTTAGGTACTGTTTTAACATTCTTCACAGGAGCTGTGATGGAATAAAACAGAAGAGTAATAAATATCGACAGTTCGTCCATTAGATATTTGCAATAATAGATATTGTGTTAAATGTGGATAACTTTTGGGTTATTGTAATGGTGACAATTTGACAGAACCTAATGTAAAGGCCATTTTCTGAAATTTGGAAGCTTACATCTGAATCCTTGTATCAGAGATCCAAAATAAGCAGTATTAGGCTATTTAAAAACTGGAGAACAAACTCAGCTTCTCTGTTCTCAAACGCAGTAAGTTGCCTTATTGAACAGTAAAGAGATTTTTTTTTTCCAAAAGGAAGGGTCTATTTCAGAGAGAAATCAAACCATGAGGTACTTCTAAATTCCCATTCTAATCCTCCCACTCATGTACCTTACTAAGTACTTCTGGCTGCAATGCTACTCTGTTTGAAACACACCCCTAATTTGTTCATGTAATAGTTTCAGAACCTGTGGCTCTCCCTTTGTGTTTACACTAAAAGCAGCATCTGTCCATATACTTATTTTTTGCTTCCTGTCCTGGTAGTTGTTTGGATTGTCTAAACAGAGGCTGGAAGTAAGGAGCAACCAGCCTGCAGTTACTGCTACCACACAATGAAAGGAATGTAATGAAAAGGAACATGAACAGCAGGGAAACAGTGGAAGCAGACGACAAAGCAACCAGGCAAAATACTGAAAATGTGCGAAAGCGAGACTGGGACAAGAGAAGAAAGGGGCTTGGAGGAGCTCAGAAAACAGAAAGAAGAACAACAATGGCAAGGTGGTATATACATGAAGTAAAGAATGCTTCCATCCCCAACACTTTGATTTAAAAACAAAATAAACCAAAACTGCCTGCTATGCTAAGAAAAGAAACAACAGGGAATATAGTGCACAGTAGCTCCAAGGACCAAGAAGAATAGCAAAATAGCACACGTAGCTTCAAATGAACCTGTGAGTACATAAACCCACATGTTCCCTAGTATATAAAAGGTAGCATAATTATAAGGCATAAGACTGTAGATGCATTCAGTAATACTTGAATTATGTGTTCACATAAAAGGTATCATTTTACAACACCAAAGATTTCTTGTAACAAAAGCCATGTAGATGCATTTGAAAAAGACATTACTAAGACACTAACCTTTTGAATTACTTGCTGGGATAAGTAAAACTGATGGAGGCGATGCCCCAACTCTATTACGGGCAATCACAGTCACTTCATAAGTTCCATTTGGCAGCTTTAATGTAAGGTTGGTGGTATTAACATTGTATTTCTCTGGTGGACTGGAGAGAGATGATTTAGCTCTGACAGTAACTTCATACTGCAAGATTACTCCATTGGCTTCAAATGGCTCCAATGCCTGTTAGAAACACATCTTTGATTAAACTGATACTGAAGAAACATGACAATCTTTATTGTCTTTGATGCATAATTTAAAAATCTGAGAGCAAGAGAAGCCACATAGATCAAATAGCTGCATATTTAAGGAAAGCACAAATAACCTGCATTCATTTCTGTAAAGCAGTAACTTCCAGAACTATTTTGGTTTATATCCTCTTTTTCTTGGCTCATAGTCCTACCTAGTAGCTTAATAAAACCTATTCTGTAAAGGCTCTAAACATGCTTTGATAAAACCTGCGTTTTATGTGACTTAACAACATAATGACATAAAAAGAATCTCACATCTTAAGGTGTGTTGAACCCAAATGCAAAACAGCCTGAGTAGTTTTCTTTCACTATGCATGGAAAAATACTTGTTTCTGTGTTACCTAATAACACGTTTCTGTGTAACATTATTAGTTTTTAGATAACTTAAAGGAAATTGTTGAAACTGTAAAGTACAACCAGTTTTCCAATTCTAAGCTAAATAATGTCAGAAGTGGCATGTGGCATGAAAGTTACATTAGAAAATTATGCCATATCAATAAACATGTAACTTCATACAAGTCACCAATCAGTAGAGAAAAGGTAGTAGTAGCCTACTGCACGCAAACGTGCAGTGCTGTATTTCATAAGTTTGGCCTCTGGAATGTCTCTAGGCTTAATGGATTTTGCAACTGGAGTATCCCTGTCCACATAGTGTTACAAAAGTTTTAGGATACTGCAGAAGGCATAACATGAAGGTTTACTTTGTTGAAGTGAAAGTTTCTAATTCCACACACTGCTTAAGGACAGCAAGTCAGGAATATGAAAGTGGATCTGCATACTATGCATCACAGATGTGTGTCACTTAACTGATGGCCTTTACATCTGTACTTTTAGTTTTTCAAAACTGGGTATTATAGTAAGAATATTAAAGTTGCTTCTTGTATCAATAAAACCTGTACTACCCCAGCTATCTACTCAAATTTGTTGAGGTAAATTTTACCACTTAAAACCTCATGTTTTCAAAAGAATGCTCAATTGCTGCAGCAGTTTGTCATATTGCTTTACCTTCCACATCAGATGCACAGTCCAGGAAGCTGGTGAGTGAGATGCATCGATGATCCTCCATATGGGTGGTCCTTTAGATGGTTCTGATGAAAGAAACAATGCTTAATAGAAGAAATATTTCTATTTAATGTGTTTGAATTCATCCTTCAACTATCACTAGACGCTTACCCCCCCCCCCCCCTTTTTTAATAAAAGCGTATACAAAAAGCGTTTCCTTAGTTCACAAAAGAAAATAATGCTTGGTATATTAAGAGGAACAGCTGCATAGAAACATTTCCTGAAGGGATGAGCAGAACACCAGTTCTGCTCTGAATGCACAGTATCAAAGTAACTGACAGTCACCATGCTGAGCATCTGCAACAATGGGCTGACGATGACAGTGCTGACTGAGACATGATCAAACCTACACTGCACAGCCTGTGTCCAGAGGCACAGCCCCACATGTCTGTATACAGCAAACCTTGCTATGGTCTATAGCTGCAGCACCCTCCCTACCTCTCAAACCACCTAAAAAAGAAAAGCGCAGAAAAGTTATCAAGGAGACAAATTTCTCCTGCAGAAATTCCTCAAGTTTCTTATATCCTTTATGCTAAACACTGTAACAGAACTGCAGGACTTTTGTACAATACTACAACACTTTCTGGCATCAGTACTGTAAAAAATACAAGTAGTATATTCACTACAAATTTCATTTCAAAGTAGAACGAATCAATCTATTACAGTGCACAAAGCAACAAAAAGCAGCCAATCCTTTGTGAAGGCCTTAGCCCTAAAAGAAAGATTATCTTAAAATGGATTTGCATTTATAATCTTGCTGGACTGTATTTTCTCTGGGAGCTCTTTTATTGCATTTTTTTTAAGTTAATCATTACAAGTTTTTGGCTCTTTTACCTCCAAAAGCCAGTATCGAGTCTACAGTGTACATCTGTCTCTTATGCTTTACATCAGAAAGGAAGGAGAACCAGGAATTGGGGCAAACAATCTTAATCTCATTTTTCAGTTACATGAAACAGAAGTAATTGTACATCTTGCCTAATATAGATCATGAATGCAACATGACCTGCCTCATGTTCATTTCGTACCATAACACTTTTTTTCTGAGGCTAAAATAAGACATGGGCACTTAATCACTAAAAGCAGTATTTTTGCAAAGCCAGTCACCAGAGCAGAACAGCAACACAGCCTAAATAGGCAGGAAGTCCTGAAATCCTCATTGCTTAGGTTAAGATAGTAACCACAGAAAACAAAACCATACTGTCATTAGGAGTTGAAAAGAAGGGACTAGAATATTAAAAGAACAGTTTACAGTATCTCCCCCAGATAAAGTAAATTTTGCATTGAGCTGAAGCAATGCCGTTACGTACATATAAATTCCATTTTGTGTAAGCAAGTAGGGTATACACCACATTCTCTTTCTTATTTCTCCAATATAAGATGACATGTGAATTCAATCAGAACTCATTACTGGCAACTCAGGATAAATAAGGATTTCTCATCCAGTGCAGTTCAGCTCCAAGCACAAAGCTACATTTTGACAATGAAACCTGGATTTCTTTAACTGTGTTTAAAGACATGCACTGAAACGATGCACTGAACAGACTGCTTAAGAAGAGGGTGCCTTGGAAGGCAGTAAAGAACAGATAGGATATTACAGAAAGGAGAGCAGGAAGAGTGCAAGCAGGAAAGGCTAAAGCACGTTAAAAAAAAATAAAAAAAAATAATCAATCAGGCTGACTTAGAAGCTAAACAGATATCACAAAGTATTCGCAGTAGTCAGAGGGAAGAACAGATTTACTAGTGGTATCCAGCATACAACCAGAAGGTCCATTCATTGGCTCTATATGGGGTAGGAACAGTATAGGCCAGAAACAAAGCCGATCTTGCAGGCTATCAAAGTAGAAATGAAATTGAAACGAGCTCAAGCTACAGTAGTTTTACTCCTCACAACCCTAGAATTGGAAGAGAAAAGTTTCTAATTGATAATAACCAAGTTCCTGGAAAAAGAAGACATAAAATCCCCACATACTTTAATTCTCTTTAAAGTCAGGAATCAGCAAGTGATTCCCAAATACTGCTGCTACTGATGATTCAGGAGGAAACCAAACAGGCTTTTAAAATCAAATCCCTTTGAGGGTGACTTATTAATTCTAGAATCCCCAGAAATCACAGTGGATATTACTGTAAAATACCCAGCTATGCAGCAAACCTGGTCTGCTGGATACAAAGACTCTTGGCTCCGTCACTATTTGGTGGTACGAAAGAGGTTTCCTGGTAAGGATTAGGTAGTAAAACAATTGCCAAAAGATTTCAAGATTGCCAGAATGCTTGCATTACTTTTCAGCATTGTGACTGTGCATTTGTGACTTTACATTTAAGGATTCCACTGAAACTTCACTTGATAGTTACAGTACTTAGCATCTGGAAACATAACACTTGTATAAAACCCTACAGAACTACAGAATTATACCTTCCTGACTATGGCAATGGTAAATACACCTTTATCTTAGTAGCTTGCTACTGAGACAGACACAAGTCTTTTGAATGCAGAAGGCAAACAGGTATGGTATCTTCTGAGATATGGGCTTAACAGTCTTAGAAAAAGCACAACATCTAAAAGTCAGTTTTATATTTTCATTGAGGGTATTACTAATGGTATAAATAACTTAAGGGTCCAGTGTCTGCTTGTTTCATTTAATCTTTGCAATAGGCAACTGTACAGCAAAAATTGATGAATAAAATTTCAGTACAGGTTTTGCCAAAATTGCAACATGAAGTCCTTTGTCTGAGCCTAACTCTTGGTAGAAAAAGGATCGGGAACTATAGACCTCATAAGCTCCTTTCCAACTAAAGTTATCCCACCATCCTATAAATTTGCAAGTCTGTCTAGGCATTTGCAAGATGTGACCCCACTTCTGGTAAGCAAACACAGAACAGTAAGTTATTTTACTGTCAACTTATTGCTACAATAGCAAAAAATGCTAACCAATTAGCAAGCAATGCAGAAAAAGCATGACTACCCTGTTATCATTAGGAAGGGTAGCTACAACAATTTGTTAAAATGCCATTCTACCAGCAGAAAGCAGACTGTATTTACATTTGCACTGTATCACAACTAATGGCACAAGTATTTCTCAAAAGCTTACTGCACACTGGAATTAGTTCATTTTACCTTTAGCAAGAAATTTGATACTAATGTAGGGTATTCTGACACCAATACAGGTGTCAGAACATATTCAAGACGATACCAGACAGCACCTCTCAAGCTTGTATTAAAGACATTAAGTTAGTTCCAGTCCAGCCTAAAGTCAGCCATTTAGATGAATGACAAAAGGAAAATAGACCACAGAAATGTAAGTTATACAAAGCCAGGGGTTTTTATTTGGAGAGCAAATTGAAAGGCTAAACACATAGGTCTACGTTGTGTTTGTATATGCACTGCATGTATTTTTGTTCTGTTAACGGAAAATGTAAGAATCCACTATTTGAGAACAGGATTTTTTTCATACTGTAACAAATGCAGGGGTGTGATTTTAATACCAGTGTTCTGATAATTACTGCTCAATTGTTATTGTGCAACTTTATTTTGTCAAAGTTTACAGCTGCTGCAACAATTGCTAAGTCATGAAATGCTGCAAAACAAAACAGCCAAACAAAATAAAAAAAAAATCAGTAACAAAAATCTAGACATATTCAACTAATGGTTTTGGCACAATTCAGTGGCACAAGGCACAGCTCTATACTTAAGAACAAACTTGCAGGAGAGCCTCTCTAGTGGGGAAATACAGCAATGACTTCCATCAGCTGCAAATCATAGTAAATTCATAACACAGTGAGTTGCAGTTACTTAATGCCACAGTATATTTCAAACAATGCATGTGTTCGTGAGCAACTGGAAACCGTCAATGAAGTTAGAAAACATGCTGTGGAATGCAGTGGACACAGATCTCAGAAGACAGAGTGACATAAAAGTCTCAGTGCTGCTGTCCTGAAGGAATATGAGTGAGACTGAGGGCGATGCAGCAGACTGCAGAACGTACAGCTCAATGGAGGTAGACATCATAACAGCTGACTGGAGCATCACAAGGAGTTGAAAGGCCAGCCAAGCTGACGAGCTGGTTGTAATGCGAACAGATTGGTGCACGGCAGTAACTTTGCAATGCTGAGGGTTTGTTCCACAAAGCAGTGAAGGCTGACACTTGACTGAGGCTCTTAAAAAGTTTTTTTTTTTTTCCCCAGGGCTGTGAACTTGAAGCTTAAACTAGCTTTTTGCTGTGTTTCGTATATCTTAAGTAGTAATTGGTTTATAGTTTGAAATTATATACATCCTGCTTGCAAAGTCTTTGTGCAAGACTAAACAAATACTGATCCCAAAGAGCTGAGGCTGGTAAGAAGTTTTAATCATTAAATCATGATCGCAACAATTTAATTCCTGTACCTGCAAAGGGACAGGATATATTACAAGTCCAGATCTACAAGATAACAACTGCAATGACTATGTCATCAAGAAAGGGAACTGTAAGGAAATAGTGATTTTTGTGTTTAAATATAGCCAAAATAAAACCATTTCCCATTTCCTACACAGACTCAATCTTGCTTCAAGTCAGCAGTTTATAGATGGCATTCTCTTTCTTACATCTCCCACAGTAACAACGATATCAGTGATGAGCAGCAAGACTCTTGATTGCTGTGTGTAGACTGTTGTAAACAAGTGGGTACAAGAGTGCAGAGGTAGCTGTGACTCTGACAAGCAAGAAAGCATTGCAGATTCAGAATACCCTGGGAAAAGTTGAGTAAACCAGAGTATTTTATTTAAACACTTTGCTGTGGAAAGAAAAGGCTACATTTCCCATGTGCATGTTATTTCATATCATTACTTTACTAAGTTTGTGATTAAGTCTATGTATCTGTATTGGGTTTGCACAGCAAGGTTTTGGTAGCAGAGTGGCTACAGGGGTGACTTCTGCGAGAAGCTGCTAGAAGCTTCCCTTGTGTCTGACAGAGCCCATGCCAGCCAGCTTCAAGACAGACCTGCTGCTGGCCAAGGATGAGCCCATCAGCAATGGTGGTTGCACCTCTTAACATAGTTAAGAAGGAAAAAACCGAATCTGTGCACCAGCAACCACAAGACAGGAGTAAGAGAAACAACTATGTAGAAACCAAGGTCAGTGAAGAAGGAGAGGGGAGGAGATGCTCCAGGCACTGGAGTAGAGATTGTCCTGCAGCCCATAGTGAAGACCATGGTGAGGGAGGCTGTCCCCCTGCAGCCCAGGGAGGTTAAGGGTGGAGCAGGTATCTACCTGCAGCCCATGGAGGACCCCACATCAGAGCAGGCGGATGCCCTGAAGGATGCTGTAACCCCACAGGGAACCCACGCTGGAGCAGGCTCCTGGCAGGACTTGTTGCTCTGTGCGGGAGAAACTGTGCTGGAGCAGTTTGTGAAGAACTGCAGCCTGTGGGAAGGACTCACACTGGAGAAGTTTGTAGAGAACTGTCTCCCATGGGAGGCATGCCATGCGGCAGGAGGGGAAGGAAGGAGCAGCAGAGACATGTGATGAACTGACCACAGGCCCCATTCCCTGTCTCCCCCTGTGCCACTCCGGGGGAGGAGGTAGAGGAGTGAAATTGAGTCTGGGAAGAAAGGTGGAGTGAGGTGAAGGTATTTTAAGATTTTGTTTTTATGTCTCATTACCCTACTCTAACTACTAATTGGCAACAAATTAAACTAATTTCCTCAAATCAAGTCTGTTTTGCCTGTGATGGTAACTGCTGAGCAATCTCCCTGTCCTTATCTTGACCCACGAGCCTTTCATTATATTCTCTCTCCCCTGTCCAGCTGAGGAGGAGGAGTTATAGAGCAGCCTTGGTGGGCACCTGACATCTAGCCAGCATCAACTCTCCACAGTACCCTAATATGACTAAAATCTTTTGTTTCATACTTATTGATGCTTGTTCACCTATGAATTTATCTAACAGCCAAGCTGTTCATAAACTAAGGCAGTCTGTCAACCGAAAAGAACTTTCACAAAGGCAGAACAGATCCTATTACAAAGGATAACCTTAAGAACAAAAAACAAAAAAAAGCCTACATCTCTTCTAAAAACTTTGAGAATATAACTTTCTGTGAAGAAAGATTTTCTTCCCTACCTCCTGTTTTAGCTGTTTTCAGGGAGCACCTCTGGACTAGCTTTATGGGAAGCTATTCTCATGCTCCTTGGAATGCCTGGGTCAAGCTGGCCAGTATTCCAAGGAACTCAGGAGAGCCTTGTTGCACATATGATCAAACAGTTCAAGCAAGTATACAAAATTTCAGCTGGCTATTGCCAAATTGCTGAGCACTCACTCATTTTGAAAGTCAATGACCTACTTCCACATATTACTTACTATCTTCAGTGGTGATCCCAGTTTTCTCTTCACTCCAGTCACTCCAGTAGCCCACTCCATCTTCCTTCATGCAACGAATTGAAAAGACATACTCTGTGTAGGGTCTGAGCCCTTGAACACTGAATGAAGTTCTTGGTGAAGCTGTATCTTCAGGTGGAACCTGTAAATGGATGAATGATTTTAGAGGCACTGATGAAAAATTGTAAAGCTGAGTTCTGTGCTACTACAGCTCCCACCCATCCAAGAGGGCTCCCCACCACATACACACACAATACAAACAACAGTTTTTTCTCCCCTCTTATTTCCAAAAGCTTCAATTCTCAACTATGGTTTGGTAAGGGAGCAGTCATATTTGTGTGTATTTACCAGGTATAATACAATACATACACTAGAATAGGTAAGCAGCTATCTCAGGACAAGGCTTCATATTCTGTTTTCATTTTTAATTAGTTTATGTCTACCTCTCCTTCCTTCCCATATAATTCCTCTACTTGCGGATCTGTAATATCCCACCTCACATTTCAGAATTTTGCCAGGTTATCTACTTGATTGACTGCAAGATACCTGTGCTAGAAGCCTCCTATAAAACTAGAGAATCCAGGATGATTGCTTCCACTGAAATAGAACAGTGTTTCTTAACTGACATTGGAAATAGTTTGCTTTAGAGTACTTTATACCTTTGCTAAGAAATGAGTTTATTTTCACAAGACCTTTCCTTTATCTTAGATTAGCAGCCGAATGCCAGAAAATATTCTTACTGCATATGCACAGAAACAGATGTATGATGCAGATAATAGATAAATGTAGGCACACACACACTGACCCCCTTACGTTGTTCCAGTTGCAATTAAGGAATTTTTATTGTGAGCCACCCTGCAAGAGGCTGGGTGGCTGCAGATTAAACACATCTGCAGGACACTAAAGAGGTTAATCCTGAGTGCAAAGAATTGTCCAAGTAGTCAAATTTTACCACAGCTAAGCAAGCTCAGCTGTTTTCAAAGTTACTATTTCAATAGTCTTGTGCTCATGTTAAAAGGGCAAGACAAGTTAAAAGGACTAATAAGACAATGTATCACCAGATCCTGGAGTTGCAGAATAAGCTGTGCAAGACAGTGCTCTTTAAAATATCAATACAGCTGACCTTAATAATTAATCTCTGCATCTAAAGCAGAAACAGTTCCTCCAAAGAAATACACTACATTAGTGACAAGCAGCTGCGTTGCGCTACCTGCTTCAAACACAGTATTTTGTTAACTCAGAAGCAGTCTTTCTTCCAACAAGTCAAGAAATTCAGAATACTTTTGGGCATCTGTACTGAAACAGAAGATGGGAAGAGTGTTTCTGGAATACTACTGCTCTGAGAGGAGGCTTAGAGAAAGGCAAAACGGAGAGGTTGTTGAAAATGTCCACAGAGTGATGCACAAGAAAAAACCCGGAAGTGCTGATGACGTGAACGCATTATAGTGCACTACAGGTAGGGCATATTCCTTACTCTTCTCCAGTTCCTTGACTGCATCAGCCTTAAGGAATGTATGCAGGACAACCATACTGTATAGAATCATAGAATCATTTAGATTGAAAAAGACCCATAAGATCATGTAGTCCAACCATAAACCTAACACTGCCAAGTCCACTGCTAAACCATGGCCCTAAGTGTCACATCTACACATCTTTTAAATACCTCCAGGGATGGTGACTCAACCGCTTCCCTGAGCGGCCTGTTCCTATGCTTGACAACCCTCTCAGTGAAGACATTTTTCCTAATATCCAATCTAAGCCTCCCCTGGTGCAACTTGAGGCCGTTTCCTCTTGTCCTCTGCCTTGTTACTTGGGAGAACAGATCTACCCCCATCTTGCTACAACCTCCTTTCAGGTAGTCGTAGAGAGCAATAAGGTCTCTCCTGAGACTCCCTTTCTCCAGACTAAACAACCCCAGTTCCCTCAGCTGCTCCTCATAAGACTCGTGCTCCAGACCCCTCACCAGCTTCATCACCATTCTCTGAACACATTCCAGCACCTCGATGTCTTTCTTGGCACAAAACTGAATACAGTATTCAAGCTGTAGCCTCACCAGTGCTAAGTACAGGGGAACAGTTACTCCCCTAGTCCTGCTGGCCACACTATTTCTGACAGAGGCCAGGATGCTATTGACCTCTGTGGCCACCTGGGCACACTGCTGGCTCATATTCATCAGGCTGTCAACCAACACCCCCAGATCCTTTTCCTCCAGGCAGCTTTCCAGCCACTCTTCCCCAAGCCTGTAGCATTACATCCAGTTGTTGTGACACAAATACAAGTACAGCAACTTCAAAAAAGCATACCAGCACTGTACAGTGTTTGCCCATGCCTTAAATGGCATTTGGCTCAGTAGTTTTTCATGTTCCTGGGAAGATGAAAGTTTTACAAGTGTTCCAGGTGTTGTACATACAGAATAAAATTTCAAAATAAACATACTGCAACATGATGGGGAGGACAGCAGAGAAGTCCGCAAAGAAAATACAAGGTCACTGTACTCTAAATTGTGTCAAAAATCCCTAGACCACAGCCTCCCCAAACAGGCCAGATAAATTACCTTGGGAGGCCACATAAGGCCTAAGGATAATAAAGTGAATCCTCTGAACTGCAGCAGTGAGGGAACAACTTCTGCAGTTTGACAAATGGGTGGGTTACAGCAGAAGAATTACAGGGGACATCAGTAATATTACCTGCATCCAGTTTGTGTCACCAATGGTCCTATAGCGAATATTGAATTTTAGCTTCATTACAGCTCCTGAAATCCGATTCTCCCAGGAAAGCTTCAGAACAGTAGGCAGTATTCCTGAGTTGACTGATAAGTTGCGTGGAGGCAGAGGTTTAACTAGAAGAGAAGGAGTTACAGTCAACTCTACAGCTGTATTTTATCATGCCTCTAGCAATTGGTACACTATGCTGTAACACTACCATGAAAGCCTTTCACAAGCTCAAATGGTTGCTATTTCACACTAGTTTCTAAAGTGGACTACTCAACAAGAACTTGCTATCTGAATTGTGATCAAATCTCTCACCTCCCTTACTTTTGTTCAGCGCAGTTCAAGTTCTAGTCAACAATATTTTGGCAGTATTAATTTCTATAGTGAAGAAACATTAACATACCAATTCAGCAATATGGACAGAAGCAGCAGTTATGTACTACTAAAGCTTTATTAAGAGGCATATAGTTACCAATCTCAACGGGATCAAGAACAAGAGGATCAGATTCAGCCTTCCCAAGAGCATTTGCTGCTTCTACCCAGACCTCCAGGTTAACAAAGAACTGAACATCAGGAATTGTACAAGAATTGTTTACATCTTTTGGTATACAGTCAGGAAAGTTCTCATGTGGCCTAAACGAAAGAGAAGGAAAAACAAGGTATAAGGCAGTAAGTTTGGTTTCCTTTAGAGAATCTTCTTAAGTAGATCAGAGTGATCAATCAGTTTAGCTCATATGTCTCCCCTCTGCCATTATCTTTGCAAGCAGAGGGGTGAAAAGGTGAAGAGATTAGAACAGCTTGTTCAGCCACAAATGCATGATTGCATTAGAATAGAAATGAGAATAAAAACTCTTGACTTCAAGTCACATAACTTCAAAAGCACAAGCCACAGTATAGTAACTATGAAGTTGTATAAAAAAGCCTGACAGCTTAAAGATCAGGTATGGATACATTTAATCAAAAGCAATATGGCTAGTAACTAGAGGTGTATTCATGCATTAAAAGATGTAGTCAGTATTACCTGAATACCCTTCAAGAATACAGTGGTACAGCTGCAACACATCATCTGTTCACAATCTTCCACTACACTAACAGCAGATAGTTCTAGGGGCATCAGGAGAGTTGCAAAGCATTAAGTTTTTCCACCTATCCACACATTCTACTACCTTTGGTACCAAAACACTTGAGCAGAATGGGGTAAATGGAAAGCTGCAGGCAGTCATTCCTGTCTCCAGAGCAGAACAACAATTCTGCCCACTCCATTTTAAACTACAAGAGACCATTTGAAGAGTTTGAAAAATACTGAAGTTAACTTGCTTTCACAGGAGAAATACTTTTGCTGAAGCTTTCATGTTAGGATTAATTGTGGACAAACAACATTCTGAGTTCTTGGGAAGTACAAAGTAGATAATACCTCTACAAAATCCAGTCACTATATGTTGGTTTCTCTACTTAGAATCACAGAATGATTTGGGTTGGAGACACCTTTAAAGGTCATTTAGTGTGACTCTCCTGCAATAAACAAAGACATCTTCTACTTGTTTACAATGGGATAGAACATTCATCATGGAAAAACCTAATACACATAATTTGGGTCTAGCCAGCTAATGATTAGGTGTATTGTACTCAAGCCACACTAATAGTGTGTGATCATATGAATGGAAAAAATATGGAGACAGCTGTTACCTCAAAACAAGTGCAGCAGCAAAATTCTAAGTCTGACTTAGAATTCTTTTAAATGTAAACTTCTTTAACTCTTCCCTTTCCCCCCAAATAGACAGCAATGCTTCAGAAAACTGGATATAAGTTAAGAACTCTTCCAAAGTATCAAGGAATTGCAAGGAAGTTTGGTTTAGCCTACAAATATTCTTCAAAGTTATTCAGATATTCTACACAGTGCTACTTACCATCTGTATTTCAACCTAAAGTGAGTGTCCAGGAATGTAGGCCTTCCAGGGTTCCAGGTACAAGTCATAGGATAAGTGAGTTTTGATACCTGATGCACAATGCAACTTAAGTTCTTGGGCTTCTCTGGGGGCACTGTACAGAAAGTTAGCAATAATTAATCTATATACACATTTCAATCTAGTAAAAATCATGCTAAGTGTACCATCAGAGCAATTTCAGCAAACTAAGTATTTAGTCAGATTTATTTCTAACAAAGGGGGCAAAAAGTGCTAGATGTCTTCCATTGCTGGAAGGCAAGAAGCTTAACCAGCTGCTCTGAGAAACAGTAAGCTGTATAAGAAACAATCACCTGACAGTAAAGAACAGCAGATTTCTCATTCTTTCAGGCAGAAAACCAGGTATCAACCACCACTCATTTAAATCTATTTTAATTCACACAGAAAAAAATGCTAATGAACACTACAGCTGGATTTGCATATGCTGATTTTGCCAATAACCTGAGCTCTAAAGCAATTGTGATAGGTCTGTTCTCCCCCAACTGAGCTATGGAAGAAGGATGCTTTAGCTGCAGACGCCTATGAGAAAGATAAGGTATCTTCATCAATGAACTTCAGTAGTGTGTAAGAAACTTTTTCAGAGTGTGGCTGAACTATTTCTTTTTCCCTTTTAAGTTCAAATTGTAGCACACAGGTTTTTTCTAGCTTTTAGAATATCACTATTTACAAGAGTATAATGTACTTAAAGAATCTTATTTCCTTTCAAGCAGAATGCTATTTTCAACAGAACTCCCTTATGAACCTCATAGTTTTTTTCCTGAATAGTTGTATTCTTCAAGCCTATTATTTTCATTGTTTACAGAATTCTTCTTTAATTGAAAGCATGAAAATACAGTAGCTTTAAATATAAATGCATCTTAAGATTCATATGTGAGTTACAAGTATCAGATGTTATCTGTACTGTCATTCAGTTTCCCATCTTAGGATATTGTATCTGTCCTCACCTTTCCATCTATTTTGCCTGTCACATCTTTTCTGTTAAGACATTTACTCCTCGGAAGTTGAAATAGAAGACATTTGTTTTTTATGTGAAAGCATTTTGTAACTCATACTAAAACCACATTAGTTTAAATTGCAAACTCAAGCCAGCCTTTTGTACACAGACTATGCAACAACTGTAATGCCTTTTGCCAACGCTAGGAGACAACATAATTCATCAGCCATTCATACTCCACTACTAAGGCCACTTGGAACACTTATAAATGTTCCACTAATTAAGAAGTACTGTATTAAGTTATTCATGTTACTTTCTCAAGACATCAGTCTTGTCTCAAAGAGCACTTGCTCAGAACTATGCAAATACTATCATGCTTGAACAAGGAAAGTTTATAATTAGTTGAAAATATTTTCTTATATATACAGGTAGAGTAATCCAAGCAGTATGTTCCATCCTTAAGGCAGTTCAGGTTAGCTTTAGTGATACAGATGGACTAAATATTTCTCAGTCCATTAATGAAGAAAATATTAATTTCATAGTGTTATTATGAAAGCAGGACACATGAGCTTATTGAATTTCCTTGAACACTGAAACAGAAGCGAGAAGTAAAAGTGAGTTTGTTTCCCAGGACCCATTTCAGTTAAATTCACAGCTTTACATAATTTAAATCTTCTTGCTTCAAGATTTTTTGTGTTTCTGTTTTCTTCCTATTTCAACATGGAAATACTCCAGAGTATTTTCAATATTTTTTTTTTTAGAAAACTTTATTGTATGCATATTTACCAGCTTTGATGGCATGTAATTTGACAATATTTTTATACAATTATCCAGGAATTGAGGGAATGGAAATAAGTGTCTCAAAATGTGCACACTTTCTATTGTTTACATTCTCTTCCCTGTTTCTCAGAAGCAATCTTCTTAAGACCAGAATAAGAAGCAAGAAAAATGGTACTTACAGCCTATTGTGACTGCAATTCCATAAATGTTCTGCTCAATCTGTCCATCTGCTAAAATGTTGCATGTCAGAGGAGTAGCTAGTGAAGAAGTGTCATTAAATGTGACACTGGAAACTGTTCTGTTTATTTCACGATACTGTTCTTTAGGTACCACTTTATTTTTAATCTTCCAGATAATTTGATTAGCGTAGATATTGCCGAAGTCAAGACAACTCTCATTCAAAATACATAATGCTGTGAAATTGGAACCAAGGGCCAATACAGGAGACTCTGGGATGATGTGACCACATGACTGTACAAGTCCACCTGAAACTAAAAAGAAAAAGAATTGCATCTTTATTAAAAACTACAGAGCGTTCTATAATCAATATTGCTGATACAACACTAGTGTAATGTTAAAAAGACTACATATGTCTAAGCAAGAAATGAATTAGTTACTTGACAGTTACAAAACTGAAGTGCATTAGTGGATCACCAAGTAGATTTAAGGGGCAAAACCAGTGTAGTGTTCCCCACGCTTTGCAAAAGTGTTTTACCAAGCCAGAAAAGCTCTGTTAATAAACAGGAGCTTTTAGAAGGAAAAGAGAGTCAAGTATTGAATGTTTAGTATGTTTTGAAGGTGGAAGGTAACACATTTGAGGTTACTCTTGCAGTTGAAAAGGTATCTTCTGTTGACAAAGTTAACAACAAAAAATTGGGATAACTGCACCTTTGTTGTGGTGGACTAGTTTTACAAGAATTGCATGCAAACAGTTAAAGCTTCAGTGTGTATACTACAAGCATATTTGGGAATTATAGTGAACTCTGCACATTTGATAGCACTCTTTGCAAAGGAACTTCCAGACAATAAAATCGTGATTACTGCTACAGAGGCACATAAAAAGTGTCAAGTTTTAAAGACAAAATAGATGACTGAAATACTGTCTTGAATCAATAGCCATACTAAACATCCTGAGGATGACCATTTGCTACACAATAGCAGTGGCCCACAGCTCTAACTTGATCATAGAGCCTACTAACACAGTTCACTGGTAGCTTATTGCTTCAACAGTGTTTAGTCTGACCAAGACATGCTTTCATTTAGGTACCATATGGTATATGTGACATTAAACATCATTTTGCTACATTAACCATCTCCAGTGATGTCAGTGGAACCAAAACAACCTTCCACTGACCAAAGTCACTCTTTGCTATCTCCGTACACAGATGAGCAATGAATAGAAGCAGAAGTATCAACTTAATGTGTATTTTACCATAGTATTAAGACTACAGACTAGGTGTCTTCATCATGATACACCTTGCTTTCTGCCCCCAACCCACAAGTATCTAGGCAAAAAGCAAGTATGTGCTTCAAGCATCCGATTAAAGAAGTTCTGCAAGTCTCTTCTGTTTGAGACTGCAAGTCTTACCTTCAAGAGTACAAATATTCAAGAGGAGATAAAAGGCATGGGCCACCCAGTTCCACCCAGAAAACATGCTGCACATTATTCCTGTAAGAGAGAAAGATATATATTTTTTAAATTTAAATATTACTCTTCACTTTAGATCACTGTCAGATTCAGACTTGTATTTGATCTATGACAATTTCTTAGGTATGCCCATTTACTTTCCCGAAAGAGTTAGTATATTCTCACTCTAGAGAAGGAATGGGCATACTGTTTCCATTTTACTCACTGCTAGGACAAAATCCAATGTCTACTTAAGTCAACTGATGCAGTTTAAAGCCTCTTTAGTTACAAATTTAAGAAATGCATCAGCTTAAGGTTTTTGTGTCATATATGGAAACACTTCACTGCTACTTCTGTGGGAAGTTCAGTTAGAATAGAGAGCATAACACTGTGGCGCAGGTTTTAAAAAAAGAACCCTATGAATCTGATTATGATTACCATACTTGCCTAGCTTTCAAAGTCACTGATATAAAGGCTTTGCACAAGGGTCAGATCAACTCACCACAAAACCACGTGCCTCATTCACGTGTGACTTAAAATACGTTTAAGAATTATGAAGTGCAATGCTTCTGCATGAAGAACTATTGACCACTACAGAAAAAGCATTAACTAATTCTTCAAAACCTTACAAGGGAGTCTGTACCATCTCAGAAGTTGGAAAATTTTAACATCGTATGTTCTTTATTTCTGTATTGCAGCAGAGCTCACTTGTTCTGTTTTGACAATTCTACAAGACAATTTAGAGAAACTGAAGCATTCACAGAGTAGCTTCCACTCCAGTTGTTTTGAAGCCCCAAAGTCTCTTCTGGATTTCTCAACCTGCAGTTATAAAGCAGCCCCAAATTAGTAAAAGCAAGCAACCATTCTCTACTAAGCACATGAGCTGTATCACTTTTAGTTACATTTATGCACCTATACAGGAATAGGTAGACTGGGTTAGTCAAATAGAGCATTTAGTCCACAACCGGATTTCTAGAAACAGACTTCATACTGTTCTTATAGCTAGAAACTAAACATAGAATTTCTAGGTCTACTAAGATTTGAGATGAGACTGCCTGCAGCAGCACTGCTTCTGAAGTTTTATTTTCACTGACCTAACAAAACTTATTCAGAAACTGGCATTCTGAGCTTTACCCCATAAAAGGCAACTCACTAAGAAGTTTTAAGGAATTCCATGGTATTCCCTAGAAAGGTAAATTTAAAAGCTACATTTACTACGATCAGAAGGAAAAGAAACTGCAATTTATGACAGGAAATACTTTACTTTGATTGCATGTAGTTTACTTCATAATATGACAGAAAGACTTAAGGTGTTTCATATAGATCAATAAAACTAGGCAACAAATTTAGCACTGATGTATCAATACCAAGCTAGAACCTTATTCCTTAGGCATCAGCACATCTCAGACTTTTTATTTCTTTAAACAAATCAAGGCAAACAGTATAATGTAAAGAGAATCTCTATTCACAAGAATTAGAAACCAACAACTAAATGAAAGCCAGTCTCAAATCTTTACAGCAGAGTCTTTGTAGGACTCACCAACATAGAACCACAGGATGGCTAAGGTTGGAAGGGACCTTTTAAGATCATCAAGTCCAACCATCAACCTACCCTGACAAAACCACCTCTAAAACATGTCCGTAAGCACCACATTTACCCTTTTCTTTAACACCTCCAGGGATGGAGAATCCACTACCTCCCTGGGCAGCCTATTCCAATGTCTAATAACCATTTTAGTGAAAAAATGTTTCCTAATATCCAATCTAAACCTCATCTGACATAACTTGAATCCATTTCCTCTCATCCTAACACTTTTCACCAGGGAGAAGAGGTCAGCCCCCACCTCTCTAAAACCTCCTTTCAGGTAGTTATAGAGAGTGATAAGGTCTCCCCTCGGCCTCCTTTTCTCCAGGATAAACAACCCCAGTTCCCTCAGTCGTTCCTCATAGGACTTGTCCTCCAGACCCCACACCAGCTTTGTAGCCCTTCTCTGGACATGCTCCAACACCTCTATGTCCTTTCTGTAGTGAGGGGCCCAAAACTGAACACAGTACTCGAGGTGGGGCCTCACCAGTACCGAGTACAGGGGGATGATCACTTCCCTCGTCCTGCTGGCCACACTATTCCTGATAGGTGCTGTTGGCCTTCTTGCCCACCTGGGCACATGGCCAGCTCATATTGAGCCAGCAGTCCACCATCACCCTCAGGTCCTTTTCTGCCAGGCAGCTTTCAAGCCACTCTTCCCCAAGCCTGTAGTGCTGCATGGGGTTGTTGTGACCCATGTACAGGACCTGGCACTTGGCCTTGTTGAACCTCATACCGTTGGCCTCGGCCCATCGATCCAGCCTGTCCAGATCCCTCTGCAGAGCCTTCCTGCCCTCAAGCAGATCAACACACCCGCCTAGCCATCTGCGAACTTACTGAGGGTGCATTCGATCCCCACATCCAGATCATTGATAAAGATATTGAAGAGAACTGGCCCCAGCACCGAGGCCTGGGGGACGTCACTCGTGACCAGACACCAACTGGATTTAACTCCATTTACCACCACTCTCTGGGCACAGCCATGCAGCCAGTTTTTTACCCAGAGAAGAGTATACCTGTCCAGGCAATGAGCAGCCAGTTTCTCCAGGAGAATGCTGTGGGAAACTGTGTCAAAAGCTTTGCTAAAATCCAGATAACATCCACATGTGTTTCAGTTAGGACTAAAATAATAGCCATCGGAATCTTTCAGCAGTACCTTCATTTGCATCTATACTTGTGAGTTCATTACTAAAAGCCCACCAAAATTTTCAATACAGAAATTTTATACTAGAGATATTGCTTATTAGAAGACGTGACAACTATGTTAATGAGCTTTTATATTTATCACTAGAGGTTGAGAGGTTTTAAACTAAATAACAGGACTTATTCATAATGAGACCGTAGTTGTATGGAGTTGAGAATCAAAAAGTTATTCACTTTTTCTGTTATACTCAAATACTCTCATTGGGCTGGATGTGAAAAACATTATACAGTTTAAAGTGCAATATATCTTTAGGTATTTATTACAAGTGTACAGTAAGAGAACTAAACCAATCGGGTTTTGCTTATTATGGATGTAAAGTCTTCCAATATCTGAAAAATAAGGTTTCTACCCACCAATGCCTTTCTGCATTTTAAAAATCACAATTTGTTTCACAAATTTTAATCAATTCACATGATGAATATAACCAAACTCTGGAAAGTATTCTCTTTTGATTTAGGTCTTCAGACACTGAATAAAATCAGTACACAGGAATCTATTTTTGTGTCTTGACTAACTCTACCACTTATCAGAAATACTGCTTGCTACCTAAAGCTTGTTGTGCTCTATTAAGGATAGATCTTAAGATTCATTATTTTAAGCAAGATTCATTTAAGGCTATTTAAGTTGACTATTTTGAATTGCAAAAGATCCGAAACTCACGAGAACCCTGAGGGCAGCTACAAGCTAGGTGGAAAGAAGCAGCAGCTCCATGTCCCTGCTAATTGCCAAAAGCTGCAGAACAACAGCAGAAGCAGCTTCCACACTGAAAAGAGTGAAGCAGATGTAAAAAGGCAAAAGGGAAAGTTTTTTAAAGAATGTTCAACATAGTATTTCTCTCCCATTTGTTATCATGATTGGTGCTGTATTAGCGTAACAGCAGTGTCAGCTAAACTAAGCATTACATCATCACAAAGTTACTGGTTTTCTTTTTGGTAATAATTTATCTCAAATTAAACAATATTTCCACAAAAACTGTTCAAGACCTGCTGGTGTTAAAATCATACGAAGTCGTAAGTATGGCTCACATTAATAAAAAACACTGTGAAGCACCTGAAGGAACACAAAAGCCAACACCTAAAAAGCAACAACCAACTCAACAGAAGTAAACAATAATATAACATTAGCACATATTGTGCTATAAAATATAATTTTTTTATAAGGAATCAAAATAAGATGACTTCATCTTTCTAAATATATGCCATTTCTATATTCAACTGTCTTCCAGATTTGGAATACAACATTTTAGTTGTCCTGAGCAGATTCATTCACACATGGGAAGCTGAAGTCCAAACCCCTACTACTTTGCACTTTGGAAAATTTAGTAACTGTTTCGAGGGAGCAAAGAAACCCTCCACATTTTATAGTACTTATTCCACCACATCCAGCTCCCAAAGGGTAAGAGAACTGAGACTCAAGCTCCATCACCTGCAATGGAAAGTTAAGTTGAAAGCCCACCTACCTACAGTATGGGAAACAAGCAATTGTGATTATAGTGTCAAAAACATGCTACAGTTCAGCATATATCTGCTTTTAGGCTGTTCTGATGTATTTTACTTTTCCCCCCTGCTGATCAATGCATTCTGAAGACTGATGCTACACACCTCCAAACCCACAAAGGAGCTATTGCAATCCCTTCTAATGTGTGCTATTTTTTTTTTAAAACATTTGCCTCTGGCTTTTACAAAACTGAGTCTTAACCAAAATTTAATTCTAGGGGAAAGAACCAGAGTTACATGAAACACTTCCATCCATCTTGCCTAGATGAAAGCCTTAAAAAAAAAAAAAAAAAAGAGATACAGCAGGGCTAACTAACATTGAAGCAGCTACTCAGTTCAGAAGCTTTTTGTTTTTTAAAAAAAGCCAAATCAACATTTTATCTATACTATGTAGTTGTGGTGGACCACTAAGTGAAGAAGAAAGGGAGACAAGAGAAAGAACCTCATGTTAGAATTTTGTCAGGTTTCTTTCACAGGTAAGTCCTCCAAAGTCACAAAGGATTGAAGTCTGTCAAAATACTACACAGTAGAAACAACACAGTCAATTTAGAACTGCTGCTGGTGACAGTCCTTAAGTCATAGAATATGTTATCTTAAAGGGGAAAAAACCTGTTAAAATGCTGCGATTACTTCAGTAACCACAGACATATGAAAATCATATGCCATGTAGACCACTCCATTTAATCCCTAAATCATATGGGACTTCTATTATTCTTCACATCCTGCTATCATTTTTAAAGGAGAGCACTGAGCC